ATTGAATGGTAACTGTGTACATTGATGCACTTTGGGGGTACAGTGTGGTGTTTTCACACACAATCCAAGACACTTCCAACTCCCAGCTTTTTTTTAGAGGTAAGGTTTCACTCTTGGTCAGGCTAGTCTTGAACTTGTGAGCTCAAGCAATCTGCCCGCCTCAGCCTCCCAGAGTGCTGGAATTAAAGGCATGAGCCACAGCACCTGGCCACTAAAATGAATAGTTTTAACACATGTACATTTAAAAAGCCCAGAACTGTAATCACAGAAATTCTTATGGCTATATAAAAGACAGACAAAGCTAGTTATTTTAAAAGGCATAAATTTCTTTACACTATGAAGTAGAGTCAATTTTTTTAATTTAAAAATATTTTTCCTTTTTTTAACTTGAATTATCCCTTTGTTTATTTAATTCAGTTTTACAGTGTAGTTTGGTTCATCCATATGGCTGGACTTACAGCTAGTTCGCTACATTATTGTATATTATTATAGAATTCAGCAATGGATTTAACTGTCTTGCATTGATTTAAAAGTCTTACGTTATCTCTTGTAAGGGTATGCTGAGTTGCCTGAAAGCAAGTATTCTTTTAAGTTATGTCCTTTTCCTTAGAACTTGAGCTTTGGGCTTGGCACCTGTGGCTCAAGTGGCTAAGGCACCAGCCACATATACCTAAGGTGGCAGGTTCAAATCTAGCCCGGCCCACCAAACAACAATGATGGCTGCAACCAAAAAAAAATAGCCAAACATTGTGGCGGGCACCTGTGGTCCCAGGTACTTGGGGGGCTGAGACTCGCTTGAGCCTGGGAGTTGGAGGTTGCTATGAGCTGTGATGCCATGGCACTCTACCCAGGGGGACAGCTTGAGGCTCTGTCTCAAAAAGAAAAAAAAAAGAACTTGAGCTTTGGAATTATCAAACTTTAAAAATAAAAGAAACCGTTCTCAAGAATGTGCAGTGGGAGGACAAATCTCTTAAGCATTTGCTGTTTCTGTGTAAGAACTTTGGTAAAATGTATATGGTTATAAGCTTAAATGTGCATAGTGCTGTGAGAAAGAAACTTCTTTTTGTGATACAAAGGACTGTAGTTACTACCGTGTTTCCCCGAAAATAAGACGCTGTCTTATGTATATTTTTTCTCAAGAAGATACACGAGGGCCTATTTTCAGGGGATGTCTTATTTTTTATTAAGTATAATACAACAACCTACATTTATTCAAATACAGTTCAGTCATCTTCTTCTGGAACCTGACAGGGAGAGCCGACCTTGTTGGTGGAGCTGGTGCTAGTGATGCATGAACTCCTTTCCCCTGGCCGTTCTCATGTGCGCAATAGGATGCTTGCTACAGCGGTTACCACACACGCACCTGCGCAAGTGTGGACGGCTCAGAGAAAGGAGCTGTGGCAGATAAAAGGTATTGCAGTCTTCCTTAACCGCTCCTCCCCAAAAGGAGGGTGTGGCTATGCGCTATGCATCACTAGATCTTATTATCCGCATAGGGTTTATATTTCACAAATGCATAGAAATCCTGCTAGGGATTATTTTTTGGGTAGGTTTTATTTTCAGGGAAACACAGTAGTTTTGATATAGATCTATAGAAAAAATAACTAAGATAAGGAAAAATTATCACCAGTGTAAGACCACTCTAAAAAGTCACTGCTGCAACCTTACCACCGTGTTCTTTGTGTTTATTTTACATTTTCATAAAAAGTCATATATGGCTAGGTCTTCATGGTTTATTAGCTGAACTGTCTAAAATGAAATAAAGAATACAAATCTCTTTATTGAGATATAGTCCATATGCCATACTGTTCACCCATTTAAAGTGTACAGTTTCATGTGTTTTTAGTATATTCAGAAGTTGAGTCAATCAATATTAGAACATTTTCATTAACCCAAAAAACAACTGAATACTTACTGGCAGTCACTTCCCATTTCTCTTCAACCTCACTCCCAGCCATGGGCAACCACCAGTCTCTTCTTTATCTCTATAAATGTGCACGTTCTGAACAATTTATGTAGATGGAATCATATAATGTGTGGTATTTTGTGAAAAGCTTCTTTCATTTAGCATAATGTTTTCTGCGTTCTTCTGTGTTATAAGTATTAGCACTTTGGTTCTTTTTATTGCTAAATAACTTTCCATTATGGATATAACTTTTTTTTTTTTTGAGACAGAGCCTCAAGCTATCCCCCTGGGTAGAGTGCTGTGGCATCACAGCTCACAGCAACCTCCAACTCCTGGGCTCAAGTGAGTCTCCTGCCTCAGCCTCCCAAGTAGCTGGGACCACAGGTGCTGGCCACAACGCCCGGCTACTTTTTGGTTGCAGTCGTCATTGTTGTTTGGCGGGCCTGGGCTGAATTCGAACCCACCACCTTAGGTGTATGTGGCTGGCGCCTTAGCCACTTGAGCCACAGGCGCTGAGCCTATTTTATTTTTCTATTCATCAACTAGTGAGCATTTTTGTTTATGCTTTTTGGCTGTTATGAATAATGCTGCCATGAAAGTTTACGTACCAATATTTTGTGGACATTGCTTACTTCTTACTCTTGATTTAGACATGCCCTGGTCTTAGAACATTAGATAAACATTAAATCTTTCAAATTACAATTTTACTCTCAAAATTATATCACTATCACTTTGCATTGCCGAAAGGTAATCTGGTGGTTATCATTGCCTAGAATATGAAGTAAACTTTGCTGATAACATCTTTAAGTTCTAAGGAATAGAGATTGGTGGTGGTAGCTAAATAGATTTGATCATTGATTGACTTTTTAATATGAAGTGAATGGTTGCATTCATTCTGTTTGAATTATTTTTGTGTAAAATAGATATTTGGTGCTTGAAAAACTGAAGAAAGAAGAAGCTGACCGAATTCATATATTTAGTTCTTTTTTCTATAAACGCCTTAATCAGAGAGAGAGGAGAAATCATGAAACAACTAATCTGTCGTAAGTCAAACTCTGAAAATATGTAACAGGTGTAATATATCACTCAAATTTAACTTTTTTCAAATTTAAATCACATAATTGAAAGAAAACATAAACTGTGCATTTCACTTAGTTTTTTTTTTAATTCTGTGGCCAGGAAGGAACACACCAAATCAGTCAGGTTCATTTTCATCCATCACAGACTCATATTCAGTTAACTTAAACTAATCCTGCACTAATTTGGGGCCATATATACATTATACATATATATGGCCCCAAATTATATTAAAATATATATATGTATATATAAAATAAATCATTTATATTGAGATAATGTCATTTAGTTCTGTTACCAGTTTGGAAAGTTAATATAATTCATAATTTAATACTTTCAGAATACCTGGAATTCATAAATGTTTTAGGTTAAATATCTAAAAAAGTCTTTACTAAATATGAGTAATAGGGTTTTTTTTAATGACTTACTTGCTGGGCGGTGCCTGTACCTCAGTGGGTAGGGTGCTGGCCACACACCAGGCTGGCTGGTTCGAACCAAGCCCAGGCCAGCTAAAGCAAGAGTGACAACTGCAACAACAACAAAAAATAGCCGGGCATTGTGGCAGATGCCTGTAGTCCCAGCTACTTGGGATTCTGAGGCAAGAGAATCGCTGAAGCCCAAGAGTTTGAGGTTGCTGTGAGTTGTAAGGCCACAGCACTCTACCCAGGGTGACAGCTTGAGACTCTGTCTCAAAAAAGAAAAAAAAAATGTCTTACTTGCTAAATACAAATTATTCTGTTTTACCCTGGATATTCCATCCATAATATATGAGAAGAACCTATGAATCAGTACTTTTAATAAGCTCTTTGGTTGGTTCTTAGACAAATTAAAGAAATGCTGAGTGATTTTGTTTATAGTTCCTCTCAAGTGATGGCATGTAGTTCTGATAGTTGGTAATAATTGGCCAAAAGATACACTTAAAAGTTGGTACATTTTTTCATACCTACCATTAAAAGTCTTGAATTGGTAACTGTTGTGTATTATAGAAATAATATTTTCTACTACAGCAGTTCCTAATTTTGCATCTTAGCGGTGATGCAAAATAATTGATTTCTGACCAGTGTCTACCATCAGATAATGCTTATTTTTCCTGTCTCTTCTCCTCAGTTACTGTAAGTCATGCTGTTGTAAACCTCTCAAAATAGTTGGTAGTACCAGTTCTGCAGTAATAAATATAATAGAGAGGTCTAGTCTAAGATAAGCCTTAGAACTCTGGTCTAAGATAAGCACTGGAACTCTTTGCGAGTTAAATATCTCTTTCCTCCAGATTTGTTGATGGGAAGTTCCAGGCCTTCTAATTCCCATCTGAGATGCTCTGTTTTCTTTCCTCAACTTGTCAAACCATTTTATACAGTTGTTTTAGCTGTTACGTCTGAATCTTCATGATTTGCAAGTCACTGCATATAGTCTGAACCACCGGAGATATTGCAGAACCTTAGAGTTCATTTCTGTTTTACAGCATACAACAAAAGCGACATGGGAGAGTAAAAACATGGACCCGGCATGTAGATATTTTTGAGAAGGATTTTATTTTTGTACCCCTAAATGAAGCGTGAGTAAGAATTTCCTTTATGTAAATGTGATGGCATTTTCTTTAAATGCACTTAGGAGGTAAAGAATTCATCTGTTTTCAAACTTCTTTCTGAAATTTGTTGTGTATACTTATATTTGTGCTATTTTATGAAAGCTAATGCAATTACCTGGTGAATCATATAAGATGTTGAATTTTGCAAACATAAACTAGATAACCTTTCTAATTTCATTTTATTGGTCAGTGTTTAAATAATGTCATTTTTTTTAAAAAGTGGTGCTTATTTTCTAGCAGATAGTCTATAGAAATTTTATATACAACTAAGTGATTAGGCTCGGCACCTGTGGCTTATGTGGCTAAGGCCACATACACCTGAGCTGGTGGGTTCGAATCCAGCCCAGGCCCACCAAAACAACAATGACAGCTGTAACTAAAAAATAGCCAGGAATTGTGGTGGGCACGTGTGGTCCCAGCTACTCGGGAGGCTGAGGCAGGAGACTCGGCACTCTACCCAGAGGGATAGCTTGAGGTTCTGTCTCAAAAAAAACAAATAGGTGATTAGGTCACAGAAAGGAATTAGAATCTATTTAACTTTTTTTTTTTAAACAGGGTCTAGTTCTGTTGCCTAGGCTAGAATGCAAAAAACAAATTCACTCTATAGTATAATCAGACTCTGTCTATTTAAAATGATATTTTAATTGTGAGATCTGCACTCTCAAATTAGCCTGATCAACGATTGGTAGGCTAGTTCAAAAAGATAATTGAAAAATAGAATTTCCTGAAAGGCATATAATTCTCAATCATAATGTCATAGTAAAATTTAAAACCAACTTTAAAACTAATCTTTAATTTCTTCATTCTCAAAACAGAGTTGGGGGGGTGTTTCTTTGTTTTTATTTTGAGACAGGGTCTCACTCAGCATGGGCTAGAGTGCAATGGCATCATCATAGTTCACAGCAACCTCAATTCTGGGCTCAACCAATCCTCTTGCCTCAGTCTCCCAAGTAGCTAGGACTGCAGGGGTACATCACCATGGCTGGCTGATTTTTATGGCTTTTTTTTTTTGAGGGGGGGATTCATTGAGGGTACAAAGAATTAGTTTACAATGATCGCATTTGTTAGGTAAAGTCCCTCTTATTATTGTGTCCCACCCCCAAGAGGTGTGCCATACACCATGACCTTCCCTCTCCTTCCCTGATTTTTATGTTTTTTGCCCTGATTTTTATGTTTTTTGTAGAACAAGGTCTTGCTGTATTGTTCAGGCTGTTCTCAAATTCCTGGCCTTGGCTTCCCAAAGTGTTAAGAGTACAGGCATGAGCCACTGTGCTTTGCCCAGTAAAGGGTTTTTTAACATAAATTTATCCTACAAAGTAACATGCAAGCTGCCTACTGGGTGAAAGAGGGGAGAGCCATTTGTCAGAAATGAATTATAGGCTCGGCGCCTATGGCTCGAGTGGCTAAGGCGCCAGCCACATACACCTAAGGTGGCGGGTTCAAATCCAGCCCGGCCCGCCAAACAACAATGATGGCTGCAACCAAAAAAAAAAAAAAATAGCCAGGCATTGTGGCGGGCACCTGTGGTCCCAGCAACTTGGGAGGCAGAGGCAGGAGACTTGCTTGAGCCCAGGAGTTGGAGGTTGCTGTGAGCTATGCCACGGCACTCTACCCAGGGGGACGGCTTGAGGCTCTGTCTAAAAAAAAAAAAAAAGGAAAAAAAGAAAAAGAAATGAATTATAAAAACTGAAAGTGGATAGGCGACACCTGTGGCTTAAGGAGTAGGGCACCGGCCCCATATACTGGAGGTGGTGGGTTCAAACCCGGTCCCAGCCAAAAACTGCAAAACAAACAAACTGAAAGTGGAAATGCAATGAGACACTCAGAATTGAGAGAGGAGCATCCCTGTCAGTTACTGTGTGGGGTTGGGGGACGTTCTTACCATTGCTTCTAGTAATCTTGGTAAAGGGTAGAGAATATCTAAAATGTAGGGCCGCTGAAAGAGTGTATACAAGGACTATACCATTTGTATTTGAAAAAAACCTACAAATCAAGAGGGCTTGTTTTGAAGTGTTTTCTTTTTTTTTGAATAGGTAAAGCTACAAATAATTATATACATAAATTATATTAGATAGGCTGCCATATAGTTCATCTATTTTTAACTTTCTGGTGGTACTAATGTTTTTCAAACTTACTTTTCTAAGCTGTTTGTTAAAATTTGTCACAGTTTCAAGTCCACCAGACCTTTAAAAAATGCCCCAGTACTTGCCAAGGAGCACAAATTTGATATTTGTATCTAATACATCTTAAGATAAGTGAATTAACGTGTTCTTACCTCTCTTCCACTGATGATTTCAAATTAATGTAGTTGCTGTTAAAAGAGATCATAAAAGCAAAACTCTGGTTCTTAGAGGTTGGAAGTGACTGTCGGATTCAGCTTTCTCTTTTGGGCAGGCACTCCAAAACAAGCCCTCTTGATTTGCAGGTTGTTTCATAGTTGTTAAGTGAGGCAACAGAAAAGTTGTAGCTTGTCCATATGGCATAGTTAAGAGATGTTAGGAACTGTGATAGAGTTCAGTTATAGATGTTGGTTGAGAATCACTTTTTTAATACCATATTTCATCAATTTTTAAAGCATATGATTGTACATCTTAACATTTCTAAAATTGAGATATGATTTATATACAGATATGTGTAAAGTTGATGAAATAAGGAAGTTGGCTGTTCTTTCTTCTACTCTAGCCTGATCTAATCCATAGGATATTGAAGAATAGTAATCAGGAACTAGACAGAGACATTCATCCATCTGGACTTTACAGTACTAAAGATGAGCCAGCCTTTATGACCTTTCTATGAGATGCTATCTGAGGAAATAGTATTGTTATTTTTAGTACTGCCTAGGAGTACTCCTACATTCTGCAGAAATAATAATGTGGAATAACTATTATACATGCCACAATAATTTATATTTTCATTTGGCAAATATGTATTGAATACCCTACCATATAACAAATAGTATTGTGTTTGATACCTGACATCTGTAACCTGTTCATTGTATCCCAGCACATAGCACTGTGTCTACCTACTAGTTGGCCCTTAAACAGATTTCTTAGTTAGACCAGTTCACTCTCGCCTATAATCCTAGCACTCTGGGAAGTTGGGGCTGGAGGATCTCTTGAGCTCAAGAGTTCCAGACCAGCCTGAGTAAGAGTGAGACTCCGTCTCTACTAAAAATAGAAAATAGGCTCGGCGCCTATGGCTCAACCGGCTAAGGCGCCAGCCACGTACACCTAAGGTGGCGGGTTCGAATCCCCAGCCCGGACCCGCCAAACAACAATGACGGCTGCAACCAAAAAATAGCCGGGCGTTGTGGCGGGCGCCTGTGGTCCCAGCTACTTGGGAGGCGGAGGCAGGAGACTCGCTTGAGCCCAGGAGTTGGAGGTTGCTGTGAGCTGTAATGCCACGGCACTCTACCCAGGGGGACAGCTTGAGGCTCTGTCTCAAAAAAAAAAAAAAAAAGAAAATAACTATTCAGGCATTGTGGTAGGCACCTGTAGTCCTCACTACTCGGGAGGCTGAGGCAGGAAGATCACTTGAGCCCAGGAGTTTGAGGTTGCTGTGAGCTAGGCTGATGCCATGACACTCTAGCCTGGGCAATAGAATGAGACAGTGTCTCAAAAAAAATTGATTAACAAATATTAGCTGAGACTATACAGCTTCTTGTTGATGGCCTACACTGTGTTGTTGGGAAGTGAGATAACCTGAATCCATCTATATCATGAGACCCACTTGAAAGTTGTATAGTACTTGAATTTTTCTAACAATGACTAGGTTAGGTATGTTATTTCCTTTTAATGTATTTGCCATTCGATACGAAACAAAAGATTACTTGTATTCGTATTTTCAATATTAAACCCTTTCCTACCTTCTTGATAATAGTAACCCAAGTATAGTAAAATAAAAAACCTATGTACATTACTTAGGGTTGAAAAATTACACATGCTAATTAGACTTCTGAAGACATCTTAATCTTAAGGCCAGATGGATTTGTATGCTCTCATATAAAGATGCCAAAGGGAAGCCTAATGGGGACAATGAATTATAAGGTGACATGATTGCCAGAAAAAGATGAATTTTTCATTCCAAAAATAATAAAAGGTTTCAAAAGATTGTTTGCAAAAGTGAATAAAGGTTACATAATTCTAACAAAAAAATTATGTTATTTTGGAATAGACATTATATTCTCTTAATAATCATATAAGCAAACTAAATTGAGAATTGAAAAAATTAAGCATTCTTAATAAATTTGTTCTCAAAAATTTTAGGAAAAAACATTTCAACTGATAGATATTGCCAAATATAAGAAACTTTTCTAATATATTTAGTGGTTTCATTTGTATTTTACAGTGCACACTGGTTTTTGGCTGTTGTTTGTTTTCCTGGTTTGGAAAAAGCAAAGTATGAACCTAATCCTCATTACCACGAAAATGCAGTCACACAAAAAAGTTCAGCTGGAGAGGACAGTTGTACTTCTTCTCCTTCAGCCAGTGAAGTGGACAGTTGTTCACAAAACTCTTCTCCCAAGCCTATAATTAAGAAGATGCTAAACAAAAAGCATGGCATAGCTGTAACTGATTCTAATGCTGGACAGGAAGAAAATGACCCTCATTACCGGAGAAACATATGTAGTGTGAAAAAAATAAATCATACTCCAAGTGAAAATGAAGAATCAGATATAGGAGAGTCTGCATGCCTGAAAGTTGCTGATAGGACTAAAAGTGAGAATGGCCTTCAGAATGAATGTTTAAGTTCTGTGCCCAAAACAGGTATGTATGTACCTAAATGTGTGTGCATGGTGGGGGAGGAGGGTGTTCTTGTTACTGTTGGTTTGCTTTTGTTTTTGTTTTGAGACAGAGTCTTGTTCGGTTTCCCTAGCTAGAGTGCAGTGGCAGTGGGCGCCATTGTCATTGTAATTCACAACATCCTCAAACTTCTGGGCTCAAGTGATTCTCCTAACTGAGCCTCCTGAGTAGCTGAGGCTACAGGCACATGATTTTTCTGGTTTCTACTGCCTGATTTTTCTGTTTTTTTTATAGAAATGGGGTCTCTTATCTAGGCTGGTCCCAACTCCTAACCTCAAGGGATCTTCCCACCTCATCCTCCCAGAATATTAGGATTATAGGCATAGGATGCCACACCTGGCCCATAATGTTGTGAAAGAATGAAGAATAAATGGAATCTTTTAATAAATAGGATTAAAATATCATTTAAAGAGACTTGGCGCCAGTTGTTCAGTGGCTAGGCAAGCACAGAGCTGGCGAGTTCGAATCCAGCCTGGGCCTGCCAAACAACAATGACAACTACAAGCAAAAAATAGCCGGGCATTGTGGCGGGCGCCTGTAGTCCCAGCTACTTGGGAAGCTGAGGCAAGAGAATCACTTAAGCCCTAGAGTTTGAGGTTCTGGTTGTGCTCACCACAATGCTCTACCCAGGGCAACAGCTTGAGACACTGTCTTAAAAAAAAATAATAAAAATAAAAATAAAATATCATTTAAAAAATTAAAGTTTTTTTGAGGTATAATTTACTTTAAACGACAGTCACTCATTTTACAAGTATAGCTTAGTAAGCTTTGATAAATGTATGCAGTTGTGTAATCCTACCGCAGCCAAAATGCAGAGCCTTTTCCTTACCACAGGTCCCCGGGTGCCCCCTTTGTAGTCATTCTCTTTTCCTTATCCCTAGAGAATGCAGTTTTAGAATTATAGTACAAGGTTTACATTTTCCATTTGTAGAAACTTAGATTTGTTTTTATTTCACAGGAAATGTATTCAGCATAAACAGTAATTCCACAACCTTAGATCTGTAAGGCAAATTAGTTCAATCTTTTCAATTCATAGATTTCTAAAAGATCAAGTGGCCCAAGACAGAAATTGAACCTTTCTCCTCCAAAATAGTTGACATTCTAGTTAAAAGCTTAGTTCTACACTTGTCTCACTCTCCTACGCTGTTATCAACAGGAAGAGGGGCACTAATTTCTTCTCTGCTTTTTTATTTTCCTTCAGCTCTAATAAGTTGGGTTTTTGTCCTCTGAGTTAGTTTCATATTTTTGATACTTGTTAAAGAAATGTATAGTTTCTATTCAAATTTTTAATTTGATATCGAGTCAACTATATAATTTTCTCTTTAACTCACTAGCAAAATAATCTACTCCATAAAAATCCATAACATATTGTAATATGTGCCTTGCAAACTTACTAATCTGTGAATAGATGTAATAAATTCTCTTTGGATGAAAAGTTGGTATAGGGCATAAAAGACATTATGTAGATTTTATACTTTAAATGGATAAATGATGTGGCATAGGAATTAAATTTCAGTAGCGCTATTTAAAAAAAAGAAGTGTCCCTTTGATCAGTAATCTTACATACTTTAATGTGAATTCACATATAAAATTAAGTCAGGCCCAGTTGTCTGTGCCTGTAATCCTAGCTACTCCAGAGGTTGCAACTGGAGGATCAATTGAGGTCAGGAGTAAGACCAGCTTGGGTGATGTAGTGAGACCCTGCCTCTGAAAAAATAACTTGAAGCAATGGGCCAAAGTGTAGGGCTTCATATACACAAACTCCAGAGATTCCTAGTGCCCTCTGTTACAAATTAATGTTTTTATTGAGTTAATATCGGATTAAATTTGAAAAAATAACCTCAAAAATCCTAGTGGACACCAAAGCAAAAACTAATCTGTATTTTTAGAAACAAGATCTTGCTCTATTGCCCTGGCTGCAGTGCAGTGGTATAAATGTAGCTTATAGCAGCCTCAAACTCCTGGCTCAAGCAGTCCTCTTGCCTCAGCCTCTTAAGTAGCTAGGACTACCAGGCATGTGCCATCACCTGGATAATTTTTTTTATTTTATATTTTTTGTAGAGACAGGAGTCTCACTATGTTGACCTGTTTATTTAGGCTGCTGTTTATTATATTTATTCATTTTTATTATAATAGTTTATGCATTTATTAATATTTTCTTTTGATTTTAGTATGCATTTGTAAGTTATATCTTCCTTAAAAGCAAAGACTCCAAAGTGACTGTTTCACAAATGTGGGTTTACATTATTGTATGTGTAAAATTCTCATATTTTCTGTCCTTTTTAATGATAGCTTTAATCCATTCCTGATAGTGTCCCACACTTGGAAAAATGTGGTAGGTCTGCACATTTTTCAGTAGTAAGATCTATTGCTTTCATCAGATACATTTAAGAGATTGTTGACTGAAAAGTACTTTAGTAAGAGTGCTTTCTAGAGGTAACTTTACTAGATGAGTTAGGAAATATGTACATTATACAATTGCATATTAAAAGTTAGGATAAGAAGGACTTATAAAAGTTTTTTGTCATCTAATTAATTTCTCCACAATTGAGTTCTATTTGGTCTGTGAGTATACTTGACAGGATTTAAACAGTTTATTTTAGACAGCTCTAACATAATTTTAACTATTGAACGCATACAGTCACAAGTGTTGACTACTGACTGATGTCATAACCTGCTGTAGTAAATAAGGGAAATTGTATCTTATTGTCTAGGTTTATGTGGTCAGCTGTAGGAAAATAACAATGTGTGCTATCACGACTTTCCCTTGTGTTTTTACATTTGGCACCATAAGAAATAATTGGTCAGGTGCAGTGACTCACGCCTGTAATCCCAGCATTCTGGGAGGCAGAGGTGGATGAGTTGCTTGAGCTCAGAAGTTCGAGACCACAGCCTGAGCAAGAGTGAGAGCCTGTCTCTACTAAAAATAGAAAAAAAGTAGCCAGATGTTGTTGTGATGGGTCCCTGTAGTCCCCTTTGCCTGGGAGGCTGGGGCAGCCTCCTCAGCTTGAGGTTGCTGTGAGCTATGACACCACAGCTCTCTACCCAGGGTGACAGAGTGAGACTCTATCTCAAAAAAAAAAAAGAAAGAAAGAAAGAAACAGTTGACTTGCTATGGTACATGAAAAATGTGTATGTTGGCTCGGCGCCTATAGCTCAAC